AGCGGTGAAGAGTTTCGGGGATATAACGTCACCCTGTCTTACACCTCTCTGCAGTTGGATAAGTTTCGAGCTCTGGTTCTGTACTCGGATAGCCATCGTAGCCCTACTGTACAAACACTTCAGCACTTCGATATACCGACAGTCAACTTGGCACCGCTGAAGGGACTGTAGCACCGCCCAAATTTCGACGGAATCAAAGGCTTTCTCATAGTCCACATACGCCAGGCAAAGTGGCAGATTGTACTCTTCAGTCTTCTGTACAATCTGCCGCAGGGTATGTATGTGGTCTATGGTACTGAAGCCTTTTCGGAAACCGGCTTGTTCGGGAGGCTGGAAGTCGTCAAGTCTGCGTGCGAGACGATTCGTAATGACTCTCGAAAACAGCACGTAGACGCGGCTCAGAAGGGAAATCGGTCTGTAGTTCTTTAAGAGAGCGTTGTCGCCTTTCTTAAAGAACAAGACCACCGCACTTCTGCTCCACGCCTCTGGAGTAGTGCCACCATGGAGGACGGAATTGAAGAGCTTCTGAAGGACTTCAAGTACCGGTGTTCCACCCGCTTTCAGAAGCTCCGCTGTAATTCCATCCTCGCCTGGGGCCCTGCCGTTTTTAAGGTGCTGGAGAGCCATTCTAATCTCGCTTAGACTGACGTCCGGGATATCATCGGAATAGTGTCGGATAAGACTTGCTCTTGGATCGTTACTCACACTTGCGTGTGGCTCCAACGATGATGTGTACAGCTGCCCATAGAACCTCTCAATCTCACTCAAAATCTCAGGTGTCCCGGAAACGGTGTTGCCACACTCAGTCTTCAGCCTTGACAGTTGGCTCTTTCTGGCAGACAGATCTCTGGCAAAGACTTTGGAGCCCTGGTTCCGCTCGATCGCTTCTTTAATACGAGAAGTATTAAAGTTGCGTAAGTCTCGCCGTATGCATTTGGAGATCTGTCTGTTCAGTTGCCTGTATGCTGTCAAATCTGTTGACGATTGCAGCCTCATCTCCCGTCTAACAGCCATGAGATTAAGAGTGTGATCGGAGAGTTTTTGTGTTCTTCTGCGGCGGGTCTTGCAGAACTTAGCTCCGACCGCATGGACAGTTTCCACGAACTTGTCGTTCATATCGTCCACTGCATTGCAATCTTCTAGGCACTGGAAGCGGTAACGTAACTCGAGCTGAAAGGTTTCGGGATTCTGGATTAGAGCACGAGGGGGACGGAGCGTTGACTTCATTAGACGAGACCTCTCCAACTTAACGTTTAGGTTCAGTGTGCCTCTAACCATTCGGTGATCGCTGCCAGTTTTCACCCTTGCGATCACTGAGACATCACTGAACAGTTGGCGTCTGGTCGTCATAATGAAGTCAATCTCATTTTTGTCGAACCGTCGGGGCTCGACCAGGTCCACTTCCTGTGGGGCCGCTTCTGGAAGAAAGAGTTCATCATAAAGAGTCCCTCTTTCTCCATAAAGTCGGCCAGCTGCTGGCCCCTTCGGTTCCGTTGCCCTACTCCAAATTTCCCTACCTTCAGCTCACCGCTTTCTCTTGTGCCCAGTTTTGCGTTGAAGTCTCCCATCAACACCGTGTAGTAGGTTTTGGAGGAATGTATGGCTCTGGAAATATCCTCATACATTTCCTCCACCTCCTCATCGGGATGTGCCGAGGTTGGTGCGTAAACCTGAATGACCTTCAGCGAATACCGTTTGGTGATTCTGAGTATCAGGTACGCGACCCTCGTCGACACACTCCCAATCTTTACAACGTTGTTGACGAGAGATTTGTGGACGATAAATCCGACACCTCCTTGGGACAGATGGTCGCCCTCCCGGTGATAGAACAAGTTGCCAGACTCGAGGATTGCCGTGTCCTCCCCCTCTCTTCGGACCTCGGATAATCCAATAATATGCCAGCGCAACTTGTCTACCTCTTCTTCCAGCTCCAGTATCTTCTCGTCAGTCCTCAGGGTGCGTGCGTTATATGTTGCCAGGTCGAGTCGTCGTAGGTGGCAACCGAACCTCCACCGGAGATTCTTAGCACCCCCTGCCCCGCCGTTACCATGGTCGCCACCGTAGCCAGGAATAGCGGGGCCGCCGGGGACTGGGGGCCGTCTGTTTGTGTATTTATTCATTGGGGGGTATTTGCCATAGTTGCCACGCTTGGCGAGCGGGTTGGCAACCGCAGTTTTTTATTACGTCACAGTTTGAATAAAACTATTATTTACGGATTTTATCGCGTTTAATATCTTTAATTTATTTTTATTATTATCCCGACGTTTCGGGTGCTTTACAGCGCCCATGGTCACGGGGGGGGACTGAGATGTTTGACGTCCCAATGTCATAGTTAGTCCGGCTACCTTCAGTTTTTTAATATTAATTTTTGGTCCGATTTACGCAAAACGAGCTTATAGTATCATGAAGTCTTGCAGTGGTATGCTTGGGTTTGGGTTTAATTTTGTTGATTATAGGATCCCAAGCAGATGGTAGCACCCAACCATCTTCTCTATTGAAATTTGGATGTTTTTTAATTTCAATAGCCTCGCGTATCATCCTTGGTAGGAATCGGTGTTCTTTTGCGAGAATTTGTGGTTTATCAAATCTAATGTAATGGTGGGGACGATCTTGAACATGTTCGCAGACTGCAGACTTCCCGGAGCTTCCAAATTTCAATAGAGAAGATGGTTGGGTGCTACCATCTGCTTGGGATCCTATAATCAACAAAATTAAACCCAAACCCAAGCATACCACTGCAAGACTTCATGATACTATAAGCTCGTTTTGCGTAAATCGGACCAAAAATTAATATTAAAAAACTGAAGGTAGCCGGACTAACTATGACATTGGGACGTCAAACATCTCAGTCCCCCCCCGTGACCATGGGCGCTGTAAAGCACCCGAAACGTCGGGATAATAATAAAAATAAATTAAAGATATTAAACGCGATAAAATCCGTAAATAATAGTTTTATTCAATGTGTAGTGTTCGCGTAAATTTAAGAAATCATTACGTCACAGTTGTCATCAGGAAGACGCTGCTGCCCATCTCCTGCCTGTCTCCCTCTGTCGCCTCTTACGACACCCACGGGAAGATATGGGGTAGTGGATATTCTTAACCGCCACTACACGGAATTTCTGTTGAACCAATTTTGTCTAATGTTTTTTCGAAATCAAACAAAATTTATGATTAATTTAAAATTTTATTTTCAAGCAATAACCACTTGTAAAAACCCACACTTCGTCACAAGAACAATGTAAAATTTTGTGATTATTTTTTGCAAATATATGATTATTACACACATAACGTTTGTTTAAATTTATGACATTTACCAAATCATTGTATTTTGGACATTTGTATTCTTCAATATTAAAAATTCTATCATTCGTCGTCAATATTTTTAAAAAATTGTTTTTCTGTTGAACCAATTTTGTCTAATGTTTTTTCGAAATCAAACAAAATTTATGAATAATTTAAAATTTTATTTTCAAGTAATAACCACTTGTAAAAAACCCACACTTGATCACAAGAACAATGTAAAATTTTGTGATTATTTTTGCAAATATATGATTATTACACACATAACGTTTGTTTAAATTTATGACATTTACCAAATCATTGTATTTTGGAGATTTGTATTCTTCAATATTAAAAATTCTATCATTCGTCGTCAACGTTTTTAAAAATTGTTTTTCTGTTGAACCAATTTTGTATTATATAGTATACTATAACTAATGTTTTTGGGAAATCAAACAAAATTTATGATTAATTTAAAATTTTATTTTCAAGCAATAACCACTTGTAAAAAACCCACACTTCGTCACAAGAACAATGTAAAATTTTGTGATTATTTTTTGCAAATATATGATTATTACACACATAACGTTTGTTTAAATTTTTGACATTTACCAAATCATTGTATTTTGGATATTTGTATTCTTCAATATTAAAAATTCTATCATTCGTCGTCAACATTTTTAAAAATTGTTTTTCTGTTGAACCAATTTTGTCTAATGTTTTTTGGAAATCAAACAAAATTTATGATTAATTTAAAATTTTATTTTCAAGTAATAACCACTTGTAAAAAACCCATACTTCATCACAAGAACAATGTAAAGTTTTGTGTTTATTTTTTGCAAATATATGATTATTACACACATAACGTTTGTTTAAATTTATGACATTTACCAAATCATTGTATTTTGGACATTTGTATTCTTCAATATTAAAAATTCTATCATTCGTCGTCAACATTTTTAAAAATTGTTTTTCTGTTGAACCACCTTTGTATGCGATCACTTCGTCTTTGCACAAATTTCTAATATACCAATTTAATATGGGAATGATGTTCTCTTGTTTGTAGGCACATTTTAATTCTTCGGTCACATCAAAATATGGAATGCCGTGCACGTGTATTTCACAATAACGAACAGTTTTTTTGTCTTTTGGCGACAAATAATTGAAAGGATAACTTGGCTGAAACAAATAATGATCGATAAACGAATCATTTTTATTAGATATTTTTACGTCTAGAATAGCCATTTCTCTACATTGAAAATGTTTATGAGGATATGTAATGTAAAATCCGTCCATGTCGATGATGTATCTAATATTTTTTTAGATTTTGTGTCATTTTGAACCAAAATGTTAAAAGTATTTACACGTGACTAAAATATGTTTGTTCCAACAAACTTCACATAACAATTCATTCTTCATTACTTCCCATCACCCCATTTCTTCCTTCTGCTCTTTTCTTCCTGTAATTTAAGAAAACAGAATCACATTCACTAATGATCAACTAATGACTGTCATTGTTAAAAAAAGTATTTTTTAACTTTTTTACTTTCTGCTATTGTCTTTGTATTTATGGCTAGGAAATGTCCGCGGCGCGGTCTCAATGCGTGTTGGCGAACTTCACATGCCTTCGAAATTTTCTCAGACATGATTGCAATTAACAATTTAAGTGGTGTCGGCGGGGATCGAACCCGCGTTACGTACTGTAAAATTTACAGCTTGCGCTAACCATCTGGAAGGAAGGATCTGAAAGGAAACTCACAGGACTGCGTCTTCATGGTCCAGGCACTGGATTTCCTTGATTTTGAATAATATTGGGATCCTCCGACATCGCACGTATAACCTATTTCTAGGCTATCTTCGCCCTCGTACTCATCTTCCGATTCGTCTGGATTATCAAGAAACCCAAACATTTGCTCCAGCTCATTCTCAATATCGTCATCATTTAGGAATGCCTGAAATACAAACACGCAATGGCATTTATATTGCCACCAAAACAACAGTGAACGGGTAGTGGCATAGATACTGCCACCAATAAAAATTGAAATAAAACAAGTTACCAAACGTTCAATGCCAAAATCGCACGCAAAACATTAGCACAATACATACAAAATAATAATCAATAAGTTATCTTACCATTTTAGCCAAAATCTAAGATCTAACTAGATGAAATTTTCCGTCAGATAAACACCACTTTGAGTATACTGCCTTTACCTTATAAAGGGTTAAGATGATGGTTATTTAAGTATATATCATTTTTTAGAAAGTTTTAAATATTAAAAGACATGTATTTATAGTATTCTGTTAATTTAAGTATTTTTGACTGTTTATATATTTCTCTTGTTGGCTTTATAAAATCATAATTAAATAATGTTGTTGTAATACTTAGTTTTGTGCAATTTATATAGCTTCCAGGTTTGCCTTTGCAGCAGAATCCCGTACTTCGATTCAGTAATCACGGCTTGATAATTGAATTATATGTAATGTAGCGAACATTGTATGGAAGAAAACCCGTAATATTTCGCAATAGTCTTGAAAATGATAACAATTTACCGCGTATTTTTTCGAGGTGTAGTTTACAGGTCAAATTTTCATCGAGAATTAAACCTAAAAACTGTCAGGTTTATGTATTGTATTTTTTTAGCACTAAATACGATATAGTTAGCCTTAAATTGTAATAAGATTACATTCGAACCACCTGTGTAAAAGATTGTGGTCATTTTATGCATCCTCAATAACAGTATCAATTGACCTACCGAAATAAAACAGACAAGTATCATCAGCATATAAAGTGATTTCTCCTTTTATGTTTATGATAAATTATTAACTTAAACTTGGAGTAGCAAGTGTTAACAATTTCATTGGTGCCGGCGAGTATCGAAAACAGGTTGCTAGCGTAATTTGACAGACATCTAGGTTTCCACACAGTGGGTGCGTTTGGCAGAAAAAAGCGCTAGCAAACGATTGTAAGCAAAATGGCGAAACTAAACAGTTTTCGGCCAGGACACGTTTGGTAACTTCAGTAGCGCTGACACAATCGGCCATTTTGCTTATTTAATTTGTTTGTTTTGAAGTAGAGTTTATAAGTTGTTTTGTGCAATATTAGTTTTAAGTAATATAATGACATGAATAGACATATACATGTTAAAAGAATTCATGATTGATAAGTTTTTAATATGAATACTTTACAAACATATATTTAAATTAGGTTAGGTTCCCCGGTTAAAACTAATTTCGTGTCCTAGAGGAAAATAGCTACTTACGATTTGATAGCGCTTACCGCTTACGATCGCCATTTTGCTTACAAGCTCTTGCTAGCGCTTTTTTATGCCAAACGCACCCAATGTGTTTGTTCAACGCCAAGCAAACAATAAATCAGCATTTTAAAATTTCAATTAATCACTAGAGCTAGCAGCGATCTAACCCGGGTTGGTTGTAAGCGGGTTGCGTTCTGTGAAATTTACGGTGCGCGTTTAGCCGCTAACCTACCACGCGTCAATACTGCAGAAAGTGTTTTATTTTCCCTAAGTTTTATTTATACGCAAATTTGTCAATAGTAATATTAAAATAGTGTCAATGATACAGCAATGTTTACAAGTGGTTAAAATACTGTAATATTAAAAAATAGTAGGTGAAACTACTATATTATTTTAAAGTTTTATACATCTATAACAGCTGCTGAAAAAATAGAAAATGGAAATAGAAGTTACTATCGTATGCAAAAAATGCCTTAATATCAACGCTACTAAAATAATGTCGTTATAATCATGATTGGGACATTTAAATAATTTCACATTTTCAAGTCGGTGCTTAGACATACTCGTAGTATACAGTAGAATCGAAGTTCTAACTTCAGAATGAGTAATTATTTTATTCTTTTTAGTTCCTTGAAGTCAGATTTAACCTTTTATTAAAAATTATTTTTTTTACCTTTTTCTTAGAGTGGACTATTGAAGACATACGAGTAATATCGATATTTTTTAAATAGTTTCATTAAAATGTTCACCCCTATTTTGCCACTTTAGGGGTGGAATTTTTTCCACATGTTACATCCGACTCCGGAGAAATTGTATGTATGACATGGAATAGCATAAACCGTGCATGGAACCCGTGGCCAGTTGCATCTTATCCACTGTGCTACCTGAATATTACAAGCTTGTTTATGGCCCTATCTGAATTTTGTGATTCTGCTTTAAATATTATTAACGAGCAATAGCCGGAAAGAAGCGGTCAAAAGCGTAATTCATTATTTGTTACCTATGAGCAACAAGTCACTAAGTCTAGAATGATATGAGACTACGGTAGGTCGTATGCGTTTGCATAACTTGCGTTAAAATTTTAGCTAAAAGAAAACTATGTATATTCAAAGAAAGTATACCTAATGCGCTGATCATCACTAACATAAGCATTACAGCCCCTCCCAAGTCCACTGCTGAACATAAGGCTCCCCCAAGGAATGTCAAAGCATGGTCCTAGGCCACCTGCATCCAATGACTTCCTGCATGCCTTACCAGGTCGTCACTTCATCTAGTGGGGTTCGCCCTAAACGTCACCTACCGGTACGAGGCTGCCACTCGAGAACCTTTTTTCCCCATCAGTTGTCAGTTCTTCGAGCTACATGGCTGGCCCATTGCCACTTCTGATTATTAATCCGTTGGACTATGTTGGCGCTATAATGCGCTGAAGTTTGTTCTTATTATTTTAATAAGTGTTATTGTTATTTAAAGGTAGATAACGTTCTTGACGTATGCAATCAAAGTTTTTGGATCAAGGACCTTGTATAACTTTTGTAAGGAAGCTACGGGACACTGTCTTAATATTTTCTCGGCCTGATTTTCATTCGAAAGTTAAAACAAATATCTGTAAAATAAAAGAAAACCTTTTTTAATTAACCTCATTGTTAGTGAGATTTATTTCTCTTCATTTTCGCAACGTGGATGCTTTGCTTCTTAATGAGACAGCATCAACGTATTGTGCTCTATTGTTAGGTTGATTTAACTTTTGATAAATGTTCGTCAAATAACAAAAGGCTAGTGAGAAAAAGATTGTTTTGTTTTCTACTATATATGCTTTTCTTTAATTTCCGCTAAGCAACATTCAACAAATAAAATGATTTAATTAAAAAATATTCAGAAACGTGAACTTTTTAAAAATATAATAATCTATAATTTGCTCAAAGCTTCCATTAACAAGCTAAACTTCATTATCAATAAAGTGGCATTATAAAATGCTGCTGAAAATGGGCCTCTCTTATTGTAGAAAGGAATTTTCTCTATGAGATATTACAAAATTAGGTCATACTTGGCAGGGGGGTTTGACAATCGCAGTAATGGACATTTCCCACTTTTGACAGATATGCAACGATTCTTGAAGAGACTAGTGGTTTCATACCGAATAGGATAAGACTAGTCTAGTAGTTGCGGCTTCGCCTACCGACGAAGTACCTTTGGGTCATGATGCTATAAGCTATGCCGCGATGTGTATCTTTTTGTGTACTAAAAAAAGTTATAATTTATATCACTATCTTTAAAAGTCCGCACTGTGTTGCGTCGCGTCACCTTTTGGTATGAACTGACCCTTACGTTCTAAGGCTGGCAACAAAGATAAATGTGATAAGTTTATAATCAAAGTAAGTAAGTAAGGTAAGTAAGTAAGTAAGTAAGGTATCAAAGTAAGTAAGTAAGGGTATCAAACGAGCACACAGTCCACATGATGATAAGTGGGTACTGCGAACGATAGACATCTACATCTTATATGAAACAAAATGCAGATTCGTTGTCATCCCGGAGGCCTAAAATGAAATGCTCAATTTCCAGTAATGACTATCTCCGGTACTTTATTTTGTCTCTCTATTCTTCGGTGTATATTGTCTCCCCGGTCGGGTCCATTCATGGTGTGACCTGCACCGTTATCCTACCAATTACTTTTCTCTTTACCTACTCTTCTCTAAAAACCGATCTAGGTTGTTCAAAAGAAAAATACAATATGTATCGAAATAGCGAGTTATTAGTGGAAATTATTGTATTATTTTTAGTTTTTTTGAAATCACCTTTTACATTATATAAAAGGGTTAATTATCTGCCCCTTTTGAGTGGAACAAGGAATATCACAAGTTTAACGAAACAACTAAAATATGGTTTAAATAGTTAAATTAAAACTTCAGGCCTACCCAATAGATTGCATCATAGGGTTATATTTGTCATAGTTGCCACGCTTGGCAAGCGAGTTGGCAACCACAGTTGTTTATTTTTATTCGTTATCAGAAAGAATCTGCCGTCCATCTCCCGATTTGTTGCCCTCTAATGACGTGGGGTAGTGGATATTCGTACACCATCACTAATAATAAATAATGTCCTCCAGACCGAATTCTGGTCACGACGGCCGGCGTAAATGGAGACCAGCCAATGGCGCGGGACAGGATTATAGTGCCCAAGTGTATGCGCTAGCACAGGTGCGCTCTCTATTCCATCACTCTCATAATCCGATGGGACGGTAAACCAACACGACCGGAGGGAGATCAGGCGCAGGGCCAACGGCTTTTCGTGCTTTCCGAGGCACGGAGGTGAGACACCGCCGACTTCCTGACTCCGGGGAGCTACTGAGAATTTCTCGACGGAAAAACTCAATAAATGATTTTTTGACCTGACCCGGGATTTGAACCCAGGCCCTCATGATCAGTGGCACTACTACAACTACTAGACCAATAGGCAGTAGTCCTTGGTAAGTAATGCAATTTTAATATAATTCACCCTTAAAGGTTATAGTTTTCTATAAATTTAAATAGGACCACCTCTAAGGTAGTTTTACTATAAACATTTAGTAAATTTAAATAATAAATAATCATTCAAATCGGTTCACATTTGACAAAAACAAGTTTTAAGGTTAGATAAGAATTGGCTGGCTAAAATATTGTTCTGCGTTTTTCGCATTGACTTATATATTACCAGCGTAAGGATAGGCCCATATAAATAATTTACTCATAACATTTTCATACAAGAAAAAGTAGCGCATCTGTCATAATACAAACGTCATAACGCGACGTAGCCAGGGTCGCATTTCGTAATATAATAATACAATTATTCCATTATTTCATAGTGTGTAAACATAGGCGAAAATACCGTAATTTTATTTTAATCTTG